TAGTCAAATGTTTGCTATCCGCTAGCCTCATACTTCTAAGAATCATTGACTTTAAAATTCCAACCTTATTCTTGTAACTATGGTTGGAAAGAAAATAAAGCAAAGAGCCAAAATATGGTGCTTTTCTATAAACATCTTTTCCAAACTTACATATTCTCTAATGATTAGAACATCCAGAAAGGTAATGATTTATTCTCTTCGATTTCCATCGTAAACTTAATTTTCCTTTGGCGCTGGTTGAGCGAAAGTAGTGAACTATCTAAAATTTCCTTACCATAATGCCAGATGACAAAATAGTCATCCATATATCAATATGGAATATATTTATCCTATTTCGCTTAAGATGATGAAGGACTAGTAGTAGAATTCTCCTGCAATGTCATGAGTAGAGCTGACGTTTCCATTGACTTCCACAGATCTTTGCTTTCCTAGAAGTTGTTTCCATCCAGGCTGAGGTGGAATGCAGTTTCGACCTCGGATCTGTCTTATTTACGCCCCTAGCGGAAGTCGAACCGTGACAGTACAGAACGTGAGCTTGACACGTTAACTATTCGGCCACATTGCCACGAGTAAATCAGTTATATGCGATGTTGCAATAGTTACTGGCAGTCTCGAAACTCTACTCAAATACGAAAATAAAGTAATGTAGTCGATTGTTATAGCAAAAATACTTTTGCCTTATCGACAATCGCACCAAAGAATGTCACATGAGAAAAGGCCTGATCTTCTTTGAAATTCACATTTGCCCTGTGACATTAGGGCACTCTTGACAATGTGGCCGATTGGCTAACGTGTCCAGCTCACGTTCTGTACTGTAACGGTTCGAGTCCCGCTGGGGCTGTTGATAAGACCTATGCGATATCGAAACTGTAGCCCACCCTGGATGATAATACCTTTTGGGAAAGCAAGGCAATGTGAAATTGAATGGAAATGTCAGCTCTACTCATATCATTGTGGGTAAATTCTACTACCAGTCCTTCATCACCTTACACGAAATAGAGTGAATACATCCCATATAACTGATTTGCTGGAAGTTTCGAAACAATTCTTATATACGAAAATCCATGTATCTAACCAACGATTTGGGGGTTAGTATTGCCTCTTGCAAGAAGTGTTCCTCCATTCTTGCCATATATATTTGTTCGTCAAGATGGGAGCTAATCCTTGCATTTGTTCGTATAACTGTGCATCGAAGATACAATATGTGTTAATCATCGATAGGTCAATCATTCTCATTGTGGAAGTTAAACTCAGCCTTAATCTTTGTGTTGCCTCTGGATGCTCCTTCAGAGTTTGTAGCAGAGCTTGAATAGCTCTTTGACCAGGAACATTTGTGTTCATAGATGCAATATCACAACTTACTAACCTATCCTCCTCTTTAACCCTCCAGAAAAATAATTAGCTGTAAATCAGCTATTCTTCCTTGTTATCTTACCAATTATTGAAGAAATATTTTAAGATTTTGACTCATCTACATTCATTTAATTGAATTAAATAACCATTCTTGAAGTGGCACCGCAGAAAAATGTATAGATAAAATGCATCCATTAATACGTATTAAGTAAGTTTCAATGCTACCAGTAGATTTTTAATACGAAATCTATTAATCCTAGTTCACTTAATAGGATTTCAATACATTTACTTGGGTTTTTCAACAATAAAATGTCACTGAGCTTCACTCAGCCTTGCCTTCAAAATTCTGTCATCCAGTGCTGACTACAGTTTCGAGCTCATCAAAAACCCAATAGGGATTCGGTACAGGATCTTGAATATCAGGGCGTTGCTACGGCTTCACTATACAGCCAGTAGGCAACAGAGCAGATTTGACATTTAAGGCGAATCATGCCTTAGCGAAATTGAATTTTAGTGATTTTTATGGGAAAACTTAATTATCAGTCTCTAGCTCACCTTAATTGAGCTAGGATGATTAAGTTGCTAATTACAAATTACAGATATTCTTGAAAACTTCTCATACCATAAATGGGTAGTCATCAATTGCAGTTGGAATAAACATGTTTATGAAATTGACAATAAAATATGTTTTTTGCATACGGCCTTTCTGACCTGTGAAACACAAGACCCTGTGTCCATAGGGTTAAATGGTAGCGTCATCTCGAGGCAGTTACGCTAGGTCGAGGCTACAATTGAGTTTCATCCAACCTGGATGGGATAAACGTTTGTGGGGCAGAGATAGCTGAACTTCACTGTTATTCTTGAGGCCTGTTCATGCGATTGTTGAAACATTCGACTATCTGTTGATAGGCCAACTTAAGTCGCTTTGGCTGACTACTTTAGTATTATTAGTATCTATTGTCAAATTATGCTTTTATCTCCCATACTCCATTTATTTGCTAATGCAGCACCACTCGACAGACGGTCCAGCCCTCCGAACCCAAACATCTGAAGGTCATCATTGCAGACCAAAAAGTTGCTTTCTTTTTACTGATCGTCCTGTAGAGACTACTGCTGCTGCTTGCATAGTTGGACCACTTCTCTCTTCCCCATCGCCTCCTCTGCCTCCTCCTCCTCCTCTCACCACCGCCGGACTTCTCCTTTTAGGCTCGATTGAGCGAAAGAAACAAGCCCACATCCACTTCAACTCGCTTCCACGTGACACTTCCACTTGCTGTACTCCATCACCTTGCAAAAAAACTGCGCCCGGAACAGCTCGCAAACTATACCCGTCCTGCATTCCCTCCACTGCTTCCGTCAACTCTGCTCCAGGCTCCTCGGCCTCTCCTCCTCCTTCCAACCCTTCCGACTTGGTCGTTCTGCCGAGTCGTTTCTCCTGCACTCCAGCAACTCGACCGGCCAAGCCGACAAGACTCAACTTTCCCCCTCTTCCTTCGGAGGCTGCCTCGACTCTTCCGTTCGTGCCAAGTGGTGCGAAGCAGACAAATCATCTGCCCCTTGGGCCCGGCGAGCTTGGCGTGAGTCGAGCGAAAGCGGCATCTGCCAACCCATCTCGACCCTACCCACGTGCAGTCGGCTCCGGCCCCGACCCGTTGCTACGGAAGCCAACAGCAAATTCGACGACTGCGAGTCCCGAGGTCTTGGGCCGCCTCAAACGGTCCCCTTCGAACGCGCCGCCAACTCAGCCTTGTACCCTCTTGCCCGCCAGAGCCTCGGCAACCAACTGTTTGCAGCCTCGACAGCGGGCCTCGGACTCGGGACACACGAGTCTGGTGAACGCGTCCGTCGCGAGCCCCACGTCCGCCGAGGCGGTACCAACTTGTGTCGGGCCTGCGCCTCACTTGCGCCTCTCCAACTACCGTCGCCAGTCGTTTGCCCGGCGCGCCAGCCAATTGGTGAGCCCCAGCAAGACCGGCC